AAAAAAAAAAAAAAATCATAGGTGCTCTGCTAACTTAAACATAAAGTTATTATAAAAAATATTATAAGTGTCAAACTAGTTGGAAAGTAAATAAGAAAGTAACGACATACTTTAGCTTTGTAGCCTCCTATTGTAATATATGCATACAGATCACACCTCTTCCGGACTAAATTAAATAGTTAGTATTTGATCCTTTAATCGATAAAAAAAACTAATAATTTGTCCAAAAATCGAACCAATGGATGAACGCAAATTCACCAATCACCACGATCGACTTTAATGCAACTAACCTACATTCAGGTTGAAAATGAGTTACTCCTTTCATGATATACGAATTTTATATCTTCAGACTGTATGATTAATTATGAAACAACAAAATTCAATTATTTTATACCTAATTGCAAGTAAGACTAAATACTTTGATGGGATGGACTTGTCAAATCTAGAAGTCGTAAAATAAAAAATGCACAAAATGCTAGAAATAAATTTTAAAATAACATATTACACCTCAAAAAGTTATACAAAATCTTATAATAAGTCAAAAAGTAGTTAAAATTATAAAAAATACACTTCTAAATGTGATTTCATAGTAATCTCTTTTTCGCATTTTCCATTAAAATAACAATTATAATTTGTTAAATACTCGACGAAAACCAAAAGTAGTCACTTTTGACAGCTTTATTGAATCAAAACAACTAAGGAGTATATTTATGGGAGCATATTAAACTTACCAGAAAATATAAGGATCATTTTTGTTATTTTGTCTCACATTTTAGGTGGGATTTTAACAAAAAATATTCAAAATTATTTTGATGAAAAGTGGAGCAAAGTAAAATAATTTTTATGTAACATCAGAAAAAATAATAACTTTTGTGTAATACGTATAAAACTGGATAACCACCCATAAAATTTACTTGCTTTTCCATCGTTGTTGTCATATTTAAATGCTTTCATGGGTCACAAATGACTCACAATGGCATATGATAGACAGAAAAGGCCAAATTTTACTTAACTATTTTAGATAAGAGATATTTTTCGTTGAGTACTATTCGAAAAATTTAATAATATATTGGTCGGGTTTAAATTGCCGTGGAGGCAAAATACTAGGTGATTTTTTTTTATCTATTTAAGTTATAGTGGACAGAATTCTTAAGGGGTGCCAACTAACACTCTTTCGTCGAAAAATTATATTGTGTAACTTGGGTAATTTTCTTTTAATATGTATATATATACGATATTTTGACACGTCTTAGCTTTTTCGTGGATTTATTTTCTTATATTTTGACCTTCTTTTGTAAAAATTCTTGTTTTGTCATTGGATGTGAGATAGCAAGTAGTCCGTCTAATTAGTCAAGATACACATAAACTGACTCGTACATGGTGGTTACAAAAAAGATATTGAATATTAGCAAAGATATACAACAAGGCCAAAGCTATGAGCTGTCCCCATTAGAAGTTGACGAAAACGGCATGAAAAGGATAAGAAAACAGTAAAAAGTTTAAGAGTAAAAACATTTGACCAACTCTTATGACTAACTAATAGATAATGTGATAGCTTTTCACAAAAATCTATCTCTAACTAGAATGTCAAAATAAATCATGAATATAGTGTTTTAAATTCTTACGCTATACTTAAATTTAGCTTGATTTTAGATTTGGTTTTGACTTTTGAGTTTAGTTTTGAAATATTAATTTTGGAAAAAACTTATTTTTTATATTAGTTTTTTTACAAATATTGGCTCTCCAACTCTGTTTTTTATGTTTCATTTTAACACAAAAGCTGAAACCAGTGCAAAAAATATAGCGTGTGTGTATACACAAATCTGAGGTGTAATAAATATCCAATTAAATGTTGTCACCTGATTTTTTCATCCTTTATTTCATATTAGCTTGAAGTTTGAAGTGAATCCATGTCTCAAAAAAAAATATTTTTTTATAATGGAATGGATATTTATTCTTGTGAATTTCAAGTTGAACCGAAAGTATCATGAACACCAAGAAATTCGAGTCGGATATTTTAGTATTGACCCGTTTGACAAGGATGAGTAACATTTAATTGGATATTTATTACACCTCAGATTTGTGTATACACACGCGCTATATTTTTTTGCACTGGTTTCAGCTTTTGTGTTAAAATAAAACATAAAAAGTAGAGTTGGAGGTCCAAAATAGAACAAGTTTGAGATAGAGTGCCAAAATGAAAAATGGGACCAAATGGGCTGTATATGTATTTGGCCTATAAAAAAAAATTGGTAGTGTTTTCCTACCTAGTTCCAGAAACAAAGATACAATCCTTAACCAGAGGTCTCGAATTCGAGACCTGGGTATGGAGTCGCCTTTGTCAGGGAGCATTTTATCCCTAATGTGGGACTTTTCTATGCAAATTAGGGTTTAATCGGACCCCAATACTGTATTAGACACCGAGTGAAAAAACAAAAAACAAATATACCTTTATGGTTTTAGTCTCCAATTTAAAGAGTCAGGAAGTAAGGTAAAAAATTATTCGCACCCTATATTTACATTGACCGTATTAATTTGTAGTTAATTTAGTATAAACACCGAATACGGGTATATTTTCGCAAATATAATAAACTAGTGGGACGGCTTCGTAATTAAGACAAATTTACTTCGTAGTGGCGGACTGAGGACCCGAGGACATATAAGTCCAAATTTCATTTAATTCAAATATTTACTTTTCAACAGCGCACACGACCAACTCATATTTTTATTCTTTTAAAATTAAAAGCTATGATTGCAAATTAAAAATATAGAAATACAAAAACAGTTCATAAAATATATACCTACTCACACTTTACACCCTCACCTGATTATATGTTTCCATCTGTTTTTATCTGTAATTTTGATTTGATTTTCCATTTTAGCTCATCAACATTTTCTAGCTAAATCTCTAGGGCTCTAAATTTTAATTTTTGAAAAATTTCATATGAATTAGTACTAAAAAGCATTTGTTTATCACTAGCATTGAAGATGAAATAAAGGATCCTATAAATTGTAACAGGAAAGTTGATTTTTTTTAATTTCTTTTTTTTTTTGGTAATAAAAAGATGGGAATTTGCTATTCTTTAGTAAAAGGGAAGAGCAGTGAGAATGAAAGTAAAAAGATTGATTTGAAGTTGAGGAAGAGCAGTTCTAATAATGGAGATTTCAGCACATTTATGAGCAAGTTGAGTGGAGGAAGTGGAGCTGAGGAGAGAGGACTTGAGCAGATTGAAGGAAGGGTAATTGGAAATGGTGCTAGTAATGTTGCTTGTTTATATACTCAGCAAGGAAAGAAAGGTACAAATCAAGATGCCATGATTGTTTGGGAGGTTTGTTTCTTAACTCTGTGGAGGATAAAAATAGTGTATGCATGTCTTTGTTGTTGTTACTATTATTTTCTTGCATCAAATACATACGTTGTCTATGTTTCGGAGGGAGCCTTGGCGTTACTGGTAAAGTTGATGTCATGTCACCAAGAGTTCACAGGTTCGAGCCGTGAAAACAGCCTCCTGCAGAAATGCAGGGTAAAGTTGGATACAATAGACCCTTGTGGTCCGGCCCTTCCCCGGACCTAGCGCATAGCGCGAGCTTGGTGCACCGGGTTGCCCTTTTAATACATAGGTTACCTGCTCCTCCCACCAGTACAAGTAGTGGTCGAGTCAGGAATCCTAACAAGGGGATTCAAAAAAAAAGTTCAAACTTGCATAGTGAGTGAATAATTTAACTATCAAGGGGCTTGCTCACATTGTCGGCCCCAAGCTCGGATAAAAGAGGAGGGTTGCGGTTGGCTAGCAATAAGCAAAAAACTACAGTTTCGTTATGAATCCTCACTATACATTTTATATGGAGTAACATGGTCAGTGAAGATTCATATAGCCGACCTCTAACTTGTTTGAGACCGAAACGAAGTTGTTGTTGTTATATCTAATTCATATGGTACCTGTTGTCTCCCACCGGTACAAGTTTGTGATAACTCTCTCCAACAAGGCTAGACAGATGAAAAGAAATCACCGAGTCAACGGTGTCTCATGATCCATTCCAACTTTATTGAGTCATTGACGGCTAGGCCACACCCTTGAGTGAAATGTGCATGAATGTCTTAGAATTTGAATCTGCTATTTGTTCCTAAATACCTAAACGAGTATGTAAAAATTGAATTCTGGTGATACTAAGTCAGCATCGAAAATGAAAGTAGATTGATGCTTATAATAACTAAACTCTATTAGGCTCCATTTTGGAGTTAAATCATTGCTGAATTGAATTGGGATGCTCGAGAATAGTGCCAAGTTTATTTCAAAGATTATTCTTAATAATATCAACCACATTGGCATCCTACATAGTCCTCTTCAGATTTTTAATTGGAGTTCTGTTTCACCTCGTTACCATCGTTGTTGAGACTTGAGCGTCAAAAATTGAGTATTAACACAGCATAGTTATTGTCTCTTGTATGTCATTTAATCTGTTAATTGTCAAACAATAAATTAATTTGTTCTTGTCTATTGGGTCAGTTTATGACTTGGTTGGAATGTTTCTACCATAGAATTATTGTTCGAGAAGCGATACAATCTTTTGTGGAGTATTTGATGGGCATGGTCCTCATGGTCATATGGTTGCAAGGAAAGTTCGAGATTATCTTCCACTTTTGCTGCAATCAGAGTGGGAAACTAAATCCTGTGGTGATCAAAATGCTGCATCCGAGAATGGAAATACTAATGGAGGCTCACATTTTGACGACATTGTGGATGATGATTTGATCGAATCAGTGGAAGCTGAGAACAATGAAAAATTCCCAGAAATCCATCTGCCACTTAGGAGCTCAATATTAAAGGCTTTTAGATCAATGGATAAGGAACTAAAGTTACACCCTTCAATAGACTGTTTCTGCAGCGGGTCAACTGCTGTTACTTTGGTAATGCAGGTAGTTACCTTACCATAATCTTGGTTTCTTCTATCTTCATCTGGAATTGATGCACTTAAAACTAGTGTATTTTTGTTGAGGCTGGAAAAGCAGTGTCGTCCATACTTTTCATATATGCATGCTCTGTAATCGTCAATGTCAAATAAATTACAATAACAACAACAACAACGCAACATACCCACTAACATCCCACAAGTGGAGTCTGGGACCATCTAGACCTTTCTTTCCTTATTTCACTTTAAAGTAGTTGTAACTTGTAAGCCACCGTCATTATAGTTGTCAGTAGCAGACTAGCAGCTTGAACTGTTGAACATTATAGGAAGTGCAGTTGTTGGGGAATTATGCACTTTTTGGTTATATGGAAGAACTTGATTTGCCTAGAATATGAGCTTTTAATGGGTACCCCATTATCTGGTCCGAATAACACGCAAATACCCATGCAGATATGGGAAGATACCTGTTATTTATGACTCAAATGCATTGTTGTGTTTTAATAAGTCGTGTTTTCGCTCCCAGCTCAATGAGTTTTCCTTTTATCTTCATGCCATTTTCGAGCATATGGTTGATGTTAGAAGTTTCTAATGGGTGCGTTTTGTTGAATATGATTAAGCAAAATCAATATTGAGAAGCTGAGTGCATACTTAATCAAACAATTTCTTTAGCTCTTTATTTAACAGGCCTAAAATAGACTGGTAAAATACATCTAACCTGCACATTTTTCCCTTTCTTTCTTACCTTTTTTTAGGTAAGGTCATTCACATTATCATAAAAGGTTATGAAAGAAAGTACCTTTTTTTCCTTAGTTATATTTGTACTTCCATTTAGTCTGTTCTCTTTCCCTCTTCTTTAGCTATTACAGGGTCTCCTGAATTACCAGCCATCATCAAGCATAGCCTTCCTATAAGTTCTTGTCAAACCCACTCCAAATATCATTATACCTATCACATAGTTGTTAGAACAATGCCCAGTGACTTGTCCGAGGCTCTTTGAGGGGGATTTTTGCCAGTGAGTTGGAGGGAGGAGGACAAAAATGGGGCAAAGTAAGCAAGGGTGAGATGTTGTGGCGGCGCTGTGGAGAAGAAGACAAATGAGAAAAAGCATATAAACTTGTTGGGTTTTTATCAATTAAGTAAAACCAAATCAAACGCATTTTCAACGTTTTCAAATTTAGCCCATAGCCAAATTTTACCTGTAGCCATCGTATTCATTATTATTAAACAGTCTTACTTTGTTGCTATGTTTGGGTGTGTTTTGATTTCAATTGGCAACCATTACTGGTAGTTCCATGAGAGAAGAAAAGTTGTTCTTAGTAGTAGTTAATGAAATTTTAGTGTGCGACTCTTCTTAGACATGGTATAACTTGCTATACCTTTATCATATCACTTTCATGGCATTTCAAAAAAATAAATATATATCTCTTAAGTCAGATCATGTCACTTTCATGACATTTTAAAAAAGTAATTTTGTACTTAAAATTGAAGACTTTTGTATTCCATGAAAGTGACCACTTTATGGATTAAAGTGTAGGTTATTGCTGTTGAATTATCTTGTGTTGCGCTGTAGCAATATGTACGGTTGTTATTTTGATTGATAGGTTTGTTGCATGTCTTTTTAAATAGTTTGCTTGTTTGTCTGTGCAACTTCAATCAATGATAGGACATGCATAAATATGTTATAATCACCTGTCATTGGCTCATAGCTTTTACTTGTCTTTTTTGTTTTTTGGTTGGTAAATAAGTATTGTCTTTGATGTCCATTCTATCTGCATAGGTTGGATCAAAACATGAAGCTGTAGTTTATTGATTCCCTTTCTATTTTCCTTACATTTAAAGACCTCTAACACACTGATATTATGAATCAAAGATAGATGGAGTTCGCTATATGGAGGAGGACCTATACTCATATTCAGTCAGACTTCATTCAAAAATTTTCTTGTAAACTGGAGAATGCATATGAATGCTTATTTCACCTGTTGTCAGAAATGCAGGGCCTTTTTTTTGCCTTGCACATCATACTTCATGTTTAATTGGTTTGTTTCCTGATTTATTTAGAGATTTATGTTGTGATTCTTTCTTAATCAACTGTTTTCATGATTTTGCATGTTTGTAAAGTCGTGTAGATTTTTGGATTGATGAATATCTCTGTTGACCAGGATATGATGTTGAAACATTATACTTTCAGAAATAAATAATGATTGAGTGGGAAGGTTTGCACATGATTCTGTTTTAGCATGGTTATTTTTGCATCACTAATTGCGTAGCATCTTGAAAGAGGAGATAATAACCGATCTTCCGTGGTTTTCTCAGGGCAAGGATATATTTGTTGGTAATGTTGGTGACTCAAGAGCAGTTTTGGCAATGAGAGATAAAGACAACTCTTTAATGGCTGTACAGTTGACAGTAGATTTGAAGCCTAATCTTCCAAGTCTGTCTCTTTCTCTCCCCACCCCCCACCCCCCCACACACAGTGCACATTAGCTGAAAGCTGAAATCAGTTAAATATCTTTCAGTTGTTTGAAATCAGTAGCTTTCTCGTGTAGGAGAAGCTGCTAGAATCCAGAAATGTAAAGGACGGGTTTTTGCATTGCAAGATGAGCCGGAGGTTGCACGTGTATGGTTGCCAAACTGTGACTCTCCAGGTTTGGCAATGGCCAGAGCATTTGGTGATTTTTGTCTCAAGGATTTTGGTTTAATTTCCGTGCCGGATGTGTATTACCACCACATTACTGAAAGGGATGAGTTTGTCCTCCTTGCAACTGACGGGGTATTTTTCTTTTATCTCATGTTTAATCCTATCTCAACTATGCAGAGAACATATGACATCTTAGGGTGTGTTTGGTATGAAAGAACATTTTCCTGGAAAATGTAAGTGATTTTCTTACTTATTTTCTGGTGTTTGATTGGTTAGCAGAAAATATATTTTGAAAAAATAATCTAGCCAAACATTATGGGAAACGAAATGGGTGAGGGCGAGAGGAGGACGGGCGGTGGGGTCTGGGTTCGGATGTTGAGATCGGGGGTCGGAATTCGGGGTCGAGATCTGGATCGGGGTCAAAGTTGAGGGTCGGGGACAGGGGTCGGGGTTGCCGATACCGAAGAGGGTAACTAACCTCTTGACTAAGGGCTTGTTTTGTTTGCAGACCATCGTGATACTGCATTTACATTTTTGATTTCGTAATATCTTGACTTTCTCGATGTAGGTTTGGGATGTCCTTTCTAATAAGGAAGCTGTTGATATTGTGGCCTCAGCTCCAAGTCGTGAAACAGCTGGCCGAGCTCTTGTTGAGTGTGCTACTAGAGCATGGAGGCTAAAATATCCAACGTCAAAGAATGACGATTGTGCTGTAGTATGCCTTTACCTAGACACCACACCTTTACCTGATGTCAAAGTGATAGAGGGCCAAAATAAGCTGACAAATTCCCCAGAAATGGAAACTGAGAAAAACACTATAGATGGCAATGTTGGAAGATCAGATACTGAAGCTATTTCAACTTCTCAGACCGCTGATTGTGAAGATCTCAGTACTACCAAAGATGCCAGTGAGATAGTTCCAGTCGTCGAGTCACAGGAAGAACAACATCTAGATAAAGGTCTTGGCCAGTCTAAGAGAAGTATAGCTGAGATTCTTTCGACTGCACAAGACGACGAATGGTCAGCGCTTGAGGGAATTACCAGGGTTAATAGTCTTCTTAGTCTTCCTAGATTCTTGTCTGCTGATAAAAGATCTACCAGTTGGAGAAAATGGTTATGAGACATCAAAGCATCAAATGATCAAATGATCTTCAGTGGCATTCTCTACTGCTGTTGTCAAAGATTCTGCTGTAAATGAAACTGATAGGAATAATAGTATAGCTTTTCAGTTAATTGTCAAATCAGGTGGTGGGAATGGCCTGAAGTGACAGATTGTTGTTGTGCTTGTGGATTATCCAAATTGGCAATTCTTTTTGGTAGGAAAAGTTGTATTTGCTGCTTAAATTTGTGTACAACGCCATTGAAGAAGGCTCAGTAGAAAATGACACTTGTTGCTTCTTTCATTTTTATTTTCCGTCTCATCTGCTTCAATTGATTTCCTTAAGGGACTGCTGATTCACACTGGATTTGAGACATCTACTTTATCTTGCCTTTCATCCTGTTTTTTATATTGAAAAGGAGGGACTTTTGGAACATTTTAAGATTTTAATTTTAACATTTCAGTTTGGTGTGTTTTGAACTTGCTTGCTTGTAATAGAGTTGTGACAGTGACGACAAATGACGTCAACTCCAAATCGATCATTCTTTTACAAGTTTAGATATGATTGATACTTGAGTCCCTCCTGCAACCAAATTAAACCAAGAAACGAAACGCAAGATGATTATTATTATTGAAATGACAGAAAGCATAAAGTTCAAATATAGTATGACAAAAATCCATCTTTTTATTTTAAGAGTAGAAGGGATGAGGAGCTGAGGACTAATCATTGATGACAAGGCAAAATTCACCAAATCAGAACTTGCATTTATCTATGTCTCGACTGACATTTGTAAACTGGTCACATGTTACATTGAAAGCTTCTGATTATGTGCCTTTCTTAACCTTCTCCCGAAATGTTCAATAGGGAAATTAAGCGAAATAATATTCACGGATTAACATGTAAATACTAAGCTTAGTGAAAGCTTTTTCCTCTAATTCCCGAATCAACACGAAAGAATTGAGAGTGCTCTGGGTTTCTTTTAACTCCCAAATCAACACGAAAGAATCGAAAAATCCCAGTCTGAAAAAACAGAACGAAATGACATTTTATGAGATGACAACTTTACAATTTTACATACCTTACTATTGAATTTACGTTCTCTTTGCAGCTTTATATCTCCCAAACCCACCCCACCTTATAAAAAGTTTATTATTTATTACATCGTCATTCCTACATTATAATATATGACTGAATGCTTCTAGATATACGATTTTGACAATATACCAGCTCCGGACCATTGTCAAGTCCGGCTTAATTTTGTGCTGAAACGTGATGCTTGTATCTTCTAATCTCAAGGGGATAAGCAAACATTAGCTTGCATGCGCTGAGGGAAGTGAATATCATTACGCAAATCATGTTCAGAAGGCTAAAGAGGGTGTGAATCTTGTTGTATGCTCTAACAAGACAGGAATTTCCGCTTCCTACTTTCATATCAGTATTAAGCCCAATGCATATCATAGGGGAAACTCCTTCTGGAGAACATCAAGATTCCGTGCGTCACATGCTTCCAACATATCATTTCGAGATGCACAGCTGCCCAACAAAATAATAGAAAAGAAAAACTCAGTTATGACCTGCAATCAATAGAGCAACATATGGACTTTTCATCATGTGATGTACCTCAGAGATATTCTCAAATATTGCCAGGCGTTATCTGCCTTGGGATTCATTGCTAGTGCTCGGACATAATAACGGATGGAATCCTCATACATACCCTGTATGCAAAAGAATATGTCTGAAATTATACTATCCATAATTACTAGCACTTCTAAAACAATTCAAACAAATTAGGCTTGAGATATAAAAGAAATTTTATTTTTCTAGATGAAATCAGCTGTCACAGCATGACACTGCAAATAACAATCTGGAACAGGAGGGAGGGAGAGAGAGAGAGAGAAAGAGAGAAGGTTGCCAATTAGATATTTTTTGTCTTTCTTTGGCTCTGGGAAACTGTTGATATAAAACGACGTCATGATTGGCATTTCTGCACTGTTCAGCACCGGATTCTGAGAAATGCATCTAAATTGCTAGCAATTAACAGATGGATAACTACCAAAATGATCTGACAAACCGCGCACATAATACCAAAGTTGCACGCAAAGTTCAATAAAACATGTTCCCTACTATTAACTTGGACCTACTTATATTGCTATTACTGCCAGCCTATCATATTTGTTTAGCTAAGGCCCAGGATTGGGAATGGAGTGTAACCTGAGAACAAATAAAAAGAACTACATAATATGTGCAACAAGTGTGGTTTATAACTTCTAACTAAAGGCATAGAAAATCACCTGGTTGGCGTAACTGATTCCCATGTTTGCCCATGCACGTACATAGTTAGGCTTTAAATCTAGCGCCTGCGAAGTACAATTGAAATGTTAATAAATTCATTGTTTTTCAGACAAACCTATAATATATATATATATATATATATATAATGCAAAGAAGATGGATGACATAAAATCACAAGGCAGCATATGTCACAAAACTAATGGTGGTGATACCAAAAAAATTTCCTTATCTCAAAACCGCAAGGCCACAGCTCCGCCAAGTCTAAGACTCTATACTTACTCTATAGAACTAATACATCTACAAGGAGTCTGTGAGAAGGCACGGGAGAAAATATGTTATTGATATATTAAATGAATGAATAATACTACACAGGAGGTCCTTATTTATAGCTATACTATACAAGGACATACTACTCCTCTACCAATGTGGGACAATATTACACTATATACATGCTGTAAATTAACACTCCCCCTCAAGCCGGTGCATACAAATCATATGTACCGAGCTTGTTACATATATAACTAATACGAGGACCAGTGAGAGACTTGGTGAAGATATCTGCAAGTTGATCATTTGACCTCACAAACTTTGTAGCAATCTCTCCTGAAAGTATCTTTTCTCTGACGAAGTGACAATCAATCTCAATGTGTTTAGTTCTCTCATGGAACACCGGATTTGATGCAATATGAAGGGCAGCTTGATTATCGCACACAAGTTCCATCCGACTGATTTCACCAAATTTCAACTCCTTGAGCAATTGTTTGGTCCAGACTAGCTCACATGTTGCCATAGCCATTGCTCGATATTCTGCTTCTGCACTAGACCGAGCAACTACATTCTGTTTCTTGCTCTTCCAGGACACCAAATTTCCTCCTACTAAAACACAATATCCAGACGTAGAACGTCTATCAGAAGGTGATCCTGCCCAATCAGCATCTGAGTATCCAATGATCTGCTCATGACCTCGATCCTCAAAGAGTAACCCTTTGCCTGGAGCCGATTTTATATATCGAATAATGCGGACAACTGCATCCCAATGACTATCACAGGGAGAATTCATAAACTGACTTACAACACTCACAGGATAAGAAATGTCGGGTCTAGTCACTGTGAGATAATTTAATTTTCCAACCAGCCGCCTATAGCTTGCAGGATCGCTAAGCGGCTCCCCCTGTCCTGGCATAAGTTTAGAATTCGGATCCATCGGAGTGTCAACAGGTCTGCAACCTATCATCCCCGTCTCCTCAAGAATGTCTAAAGCATATTTTCTTTGAGAAATAACAATACCTGAGCTAGACTGGGCAACCTCAATACCTAGAAAGTACTTCAATCTGCCTAGATCCTTAGTTTGGAAGTGCTGGAAGAGATGCTGCTTCAGATTGGTAATACCATCCTGATCATTGCCAGTAATAACAATATCATCAACATAGACTACCAGATAAATACAGAGACTTGAAGCAGAGTGCCGATAAAACACAGAGTGATCAGCTTCACTACGAATCATGCCAAACTCCTGGATAACCGTGCTGAACTTACCAAACCAGGCTCGAGGAGACTGCTTTAGACCATAAAGTGACCGACGCAAGCGACATACAAGGCCACGAGACTCCGTCTGAGCAACAAAACCAGGTGGTTGCTCCATATAAACCTCATCCTCAAGATCACCGTGAAGAAAGGCATTTTTAATGTCCAGCTGATAGAGGGGCCAATGACGAACCGCAGCCATGGATAGAAAAAGGCGGACTGAAGCCACTTTAGCCACGGGAGAGAAGGTATCACTGTAATCGAGCCCAAATATCTGAGTATATCCTTTGGCAACAAGACGGGCCTTAAGTCGATCAATCTGTCCATCGGGACCAACTTTGACTGCATAAACCCAACGACAACCAACAGTAGATTTACCTGAGGGAAGAGGAACAAGCTCCCAAGTACCACTTGTATGTAAAGCAGACATCTCGTCACTCATAGCCTGTCGCCATCCTGGATGAGACAACGCTTCACCTGTAGACTTAGGGATGGAAACCGAGGACAAAGAAGATATAAAAGCATAATGGGGAGATGACAGACGATGATAGCTCAAACCGACATAATGAGGATTAGGGTTAAGTGTGGTCCGTATACCTTTCCGAAGTGCAATCGATGTACTAGGAGCAGGGTCCGCAGCAGGAGCAGGGTCAGGTGCAGGACGAGAACCAGTTGGGCCTGATGGAGGACGCAAACGACGATGATAAGTCAAGAGTGGTGTTCCTGTGGCTGGGGAACTAGGGGGAACAACACTAGACTCCTCAACGGTTGGTATGGATGAAACCTCTGTGGTCGAAGGTGGAGGAGGAGCTATAGTAAACTCCTCAAAGGTCATTATAGGTAAGACCTCAGATATATCATGGTGGTCAGCAGAGGTAAAGAAAGGTTTAGACTCAAAAAATGTGACGTCAGCTGACATAAGGTACCTACGAAGATCTGGAGAATAACAACGATATCCCTTCTGAACACGAGAATAACCAAGGAAGACACACTTGAGAGCACGAGGAGCTAACTTATCTTTCCCAGGGGCTAAGTTATGAACAAAACACGTGCTCCCAAAAACACGAGGTGGAAGAGAGTATAAGGGTGACTGGGGAAACAATACTGAATGCGGAATCTGATTCTTGATGGGAGATGAAGGCATCCGATTAATCAAATAACAAGCTGTGAGAACTGCATCGCCCCAAAAACGCAACGGAACACGAGATTCAATTAGAAGTGTGCGAGCAGTCTCAATAAGGTGCCTATTCTTTCTCTCAGCAACCCCATTTTGCTGAGGGGTATAAGGACAAGATGTCTGATGAATAATTCCTTGAGAAGTCATAAACTGCTGAAATTGAGAAGATAAATATTCTAAGGCATTATCACTGCGAAAAATGCGAATAGAAACACCAAATTGGTTTTTGATTTCAGCACAGAAACTCTGGAATATAGAAAATAACTCAGAACGATCTTTCATTAAGAAAAGCCAAGTACATCTTGAATAATCATCA